GGGCAGAAGCTGAATGTTTCACTGAGAAGTGAAGCCACAAACAACTAGCTCTGTGCCAGGGTCCTGCCTCCTCTGCAACTTATTTCCTAGAAATTGGGATGTTAAGGAAAATATACTTACGAAAAGGCAAATGCCACCAAGGCCCCACTGACCACAATGAAGTCCAGGATGTTCCACAGGTCACGGAAGTAGGAGCCAGGGTGGAGTAACAGCCCCAGGTCGATCATCTTCAGAGGAAACACATGAAAAGAAAGAGTATTAATAAAATGTGTGCCAGGTGAACACTACTGAGGTACAGAGGAGTGTCCTTGGTCAAATGACCCTTTCACAAACTCTTCTTCAGGGCTTCACAGCAGCAGAACATTCAGTCAAGCTGCTCAGCTCCAACAGGCCCAGAGAGCTCTGTCAGAATTAGAGCTGAAGTCAATAAACCATAACCAAAAGCACAGGAGATGAGTAGTAACTGCTCCACAGGAGTCTTTGCACAGAGAGACCTTAATTTATGGGAATAGCAGTCTGCGTGTGAAACATCCAAATAGTTTCACTTTATTCTCCCCTAATCTTACCAGAGTAGTAGGAGTTAACAACTGGCATAGGATGTTATGCTCTGAAGTACACAGAGAGGATGGGAAGATGCACAGCCAAAGGCAATGAAGTTACTGCCCCACAGTGTTAGTAAAACCTGTCACCCTACTGAGTAAAAAAATAAATACTCAAACTTTCTGAAACATGAAAGACAAAGAATCAGTTGCTACAAACATTCCTGATCAGCACCAAAGGAAAAGGGAAGAATCAGACCTGTCTCAGCAAGGTCTGTGAGCTCCCGTGTCCTCAGCCACACACATTTCTGCACCAGGCACTCACATTTCTCATCCTCTTACTACATTTACCTCTTACATTTCTTATCCACAGCTACTAAAGATATCCTTATTTTCCTCCATAAAATGAGAGGTTAAAGAAACAAGGAGAGCAACTACAGAAGAGCATTAGCTGTACAGTGGCTACTGCTGAGTGCTGCTCTGAGCTCACACCTCCACCTCACCAGGCAGGCACCCCCAGGAGCTTTATCATGGTCCATCTTTTCTCCAGCTTCCCAAAAGAGGATGAGTGTAAATCTGAAAGAGGGGGGAGCCTTTCTGTTTGGAAAGATTCTTACCTTGATCACCATCTCAAAGGTAAAGACACCTGTAAATATGTAATCCAAGTATTTCAGAGCCTAAATGGGAAAGAGAAACATTTATTAGGGGAAACTACACACTGAATAATCTGCACGTGAGCAATGAGTAAAAAGTCAGTTCTAGCAATGGTCTGTTTGCTACAATGGGTAAATATCATCTGATGGGAGGCTTCCAAATAGTTGAGAAACACAACTGAAAAAGAATTGTGGAATAGTTCGGGTTGGAAGGGACCTCACAAGTCCAACCCCCCTGCAGGGACAGGGACATCTGCAGCTAGAGCAGGGTGCTCAGAGACCCAGCCAACCTCACCTGGGATGGTTCCAGGGATGGGGCAGCAACCACCTCTCTGGGCAGCCTGGGCCAGATGCTCACCACCCTCAGTGTCAAACATTTCTGCCTTCCCTCTATTCTAAATGTCCCATCTTTTAGCTTAAAACCATCAAGCCTTGTCCTGTCACAACAGGTCCTGCTAAAAAGTCTGTCCCCAGCTTTCTGATAGCTCTCCTTGAAGTACTGAGAGGCTGGAATAAGGTCTCCAAGGAGCCTTCTCCTCTGTGGCTGCCACAGCCCAACTCTCTCCTGCTGGGCTCCCAGCAGAGGGGTTCCCCCCTCGGGGCATTGCTGGGGCTCCTCTGGCCCCGCTCCAGCAGGTCCCTGGCTCTGCTGTGCTGAGGACTCCAGAGCTGCCCCAGCACTGCAGGGGGGTCTCAGAGAGCTGGCAGAGGGGCAGGATCCCCTCCCTGCCCTGCTGCCCACGCTGCTGGGGGGGCAGCCCAGGATACAAATCATCTGCTTCAAAGAACAACACGTTCTCCCATCCTTGCCAGACTGCAGTCTGCCTGCCCAGGGGTTGCTTCAGTGCACCTGCCTAGAGCACAGGTTTAATAAGGCAAAACGGATATTTCAAATCAAAATATTTTAATATCCTTTCCTAAAGAGCTTATTTGGCAGCACCCGTGCAGAAGCCTGGGTTTCTCTTCTGCTGTAGCTGCTGATAGCATTATTAAAGACCTTTGGAGTGCAGGAGAGTGATAAAATCCCTTTTGTTAAACTGATTCCACAGTTATTAAGGATGAAGAGGAGATTGCTCATAGCTACTTCAGCTCAGTACTGACAAGGGGATCGTGGATCCTCCTCTGGAAAAAGCTAATATTGGGCAGATTCAGAAGCAGGAGGCCAGGCCAGGCAGGTCCTGCCCTGCTGACCTGTGCTCTGAAGTAATTCACTTCCTTGATCTGTTCAAGGGTGGAGGTACACAGACTCCTCCATATACATCCTGGTGCATACAATATTCAAGTATCTGTAGATCTTCTAAATGCCAACCTAATTCTGTGGATGGGATGCACTTATTTACAGTCAGATTCATGATTTATACACAGTGAGTGGATATTAAGTCAATATAAATATCACATGATATCCACATCCTCTAACTATAGACATCGAAAAGTCCAAAATTAGGCAACTGCATCTTGCAATTTCTATACTTAATCTTCAGTTCAGTAGACTCCCAGTTGTCCACATAACTGTAACCAGCTCTGTGCCAACTCCTCATGTGAAAGTGCTTGAAAAAAAACACACAGCTACCTGCCTCATGAACACTCCTGGGCTGCATGGTCATATGTAGAAGGTGGCACACTCCTACTTCTGCTTGGACCAGCACCCATCTATGAAGTCCCTGAGCTTATTTGACATCCATGGATACATAGATTTGCTACTAATTCTAGGAAGTTGCTACCATGCCCCACCAAGATAAAAAGCCATATCTGTTTTTACTTTCTCAGGCTCTGCTCTAGCAGGAGCAGGGGATCCTGGGACCATGTCAGCCCTGGCTGGTGACCAGGGAAGCCTTTCCCACTGCTGAATGGCATGTAAGCTTTGCAGGCTTCTTCCATGTAAGTCACACCAGCCAAACAGCCAGTGATTTCCAAGTTCTCAAACTCAGATGTGGCTGAAGCAGCAGAAAGGGACAGGAATTGTGAGAACTTTGATAGTGGAACCAGCTAATGTGGATATGTGATTAAAGAAAGCTTCAGTTTTGCACTTCAGCTTTGTTTCAGTTATCCTTTGGAGATGAGAACGAACATGCCACGTGCATAACTGCTGGGACAAAGAGAACAACTTTATTTTGGCCACGTTGGTTGGTACTCACATCGTTCCTTGGTGACTCAGCTTGGACAGGGTCCTCTGCAGCCAGGGCAATGCTGCTGAGGGCTATAACTATGAGGATGACCATCTCGAAATAGCGCAGGTTGACGATGTAGTGGAACAGACGTCGAATCCTGCAAACAACATAAGCACAGAGAAGGGTTACTGCAGGTGCTGTGACTCCAGGGCAGTCCTCTGAAAGACTGGCAGGAGGACAATGTTCATCAGGAGTATCACCTTTAAGTGATAGGATTCCTATTACAATAAGTGTAAGAAAATAAAAGCCTGTATCAATGGCTTTAACCTCCAATTTGCAACGGATCTGTGGTGAGGTTTAAAGACATCTAACACCCCTGCACTGCTCTCTACAAAACCCTCTGCAAAGGGGTGACATCCATCCATCCCCCCATCCATCCCCCCATCCATCCAACCATCCATCTATCCACCCATCCATCCACCCATCCATCCACCCATCCATCCACCCATCCATCCACCCATCCATCTATCCACCCATCCATCTATCCACCCATCCATCTATCCACCCATCCATCCACCCATCCATCCACCCACCCACCCATCCATCCAGCTTTGAGAGCTTTCAAGCATTCGGACTCCATTCTGCAAATTATGTTTATCTACTCCCCCACCCTTTTCACATTGAACTCACAGGCAAAAATCCTGTGAGTTCAAAATTAGGTTTGAAATCCTTTTAATATCAACTAATCCCTTTAAAATTGAGGTATTTGCTCTGCACTTGGAGACTCTCAGCTGAAACTGGCTTCATAACTATGAGTATTACTTCTACCAGGCTCTTTGTTGCCAACTACCTCTGCCTGCACTTCACTCTAAGATATAACCTTATAAACTTGTGCTTTATAACCTGCACAAATACTTTAGAGTGGTATAATGCTTATTTCACCTAATCTTTGTCTTCACAAATTGCATCCAATCAATTTACAAATGCTTCCATTTCTAAATTCACAAATTTCAGGTAATAACTCTATCTGCCCTAAGTTCACAAATACTTAACTGCACAGACAACTCTACATTTGCATCGTATTTGTCAGCTGAGTAAAGGTCTTAGGTTGTACCTGAGAAGCAAATTATATGCATAACTCCTGAACAACCTTGTTATGAGAGAGCATAATTCAGTTTCTGTATCACATTTTCTCTAAGCAAATATCTGAACAGTTAGAATTAGGGTTTATTTTTTCACATCTACTTATCTATTCCTTTTTCTCTGGACTCTTAATAGATTCGGGATGGAAAAGAGTTACAAGTATCAAGGAAATAGATTTGATACAAAATAACATGGAGAAAAGTGCTTCTGTGGATCCCTGAACTCTGCTTATCAGTCTGACAGAAGAAGATTATCATCGCTGTGCTCCACGAAGCCAGAGATGTGAAAGGCAACATTTCCAATAACATTTGTAACCATAATTCTTGCATCAAACTCAATTCATCAGAGAAATAACAAGTCCCAATTTTTAGATCTTCAACATTCATAACCAACAGTGAGATGTGGGGGCATTTGTGAACTGCCAGTGGTGCTTGAGAAATCAGTTTGAATACGTGGCTGCTGGAAGAGGCTGGTGGCACTTGGAAAGTAATAAATTTCATTTATGCTTCTCAGAACTGTTTAGCCCACGAGCAGCACCCGGGTCATGCATCCCCAGCGGGGCTTGGAAGGGAAATAGCAATGGATGTGGTGAAAACCTGCATACCCCAGAAAGCACAAAGACCTCTCTTGAGAAGTTAACACCAGCCAAAACACCTGAGGGCATCCAGCTGGGTCTGTGTCTTGCCCAGAGGAAGAAAAGTAAGTTGCTGACATTCCTAGAGTTTGGTCTCTGTCTTGTTATTTGCCCCTGGCCCTGTGCTGTAATACGTCTCTCCCAGTGAACTTTGTTTTTTTCAGTGGTCTCTTAGTACAGCTTTTAGGGGAGGATGTGCTGGAGAAAACCGCCAGACAACTGAAACAACAAACCAAATCCTGGGCTATGAGACTCAGAAGGTCACAACTGCAGGACAGAGTGAGAGGAGAAAAGACAAGCATTCGTCTGAAACAAAAAAGTCTTGCTGCTTCTCCCTGTGCCTGGTCCACTGCCCAGCCTGGAGCCTTCTGGGCTTGGGACCATCCAGCTTCTCTCTCTATGATGCTGTCATTTTACAGCTAATGCTCATTTTTGGTGGTCACTCCACAACTCAAAGACTTGAGCTACCAAATACTAGGGAAATACTCTTTCCTTATCCAACCAGAGACCAAGCTCCATAACTCAGATTTTACCCAGAAAGTATAATTATGCTATGAATGCACCTCATCTAATGCTCTGCCCTCCTCTTGGCTGCCTTTTGCACAGATTTGGAGGATGTGTCACCTTAATCTGAAATAGTACAGTGCTAGCACAGTAAACATTCTGGGCTTTCAGCTCAGTTACCCTAAACTGTCCTGAGGTCTACCTGCCAGGTGGCTGGAGAAGGCAAAGGGGAAACATGAGTGTGTGTCTTGAGGGTTTGAGACAGAAGGAGCATGTATTAAATCTTCAGTTCATTTCCTCTGGTGAGGAGATGAGATTAGCAGCAGTGTGGGGTCATTCTCCCTCCCTAACAGCTGGCACTGAGAGAGAGTCTCTAACTTCTCCCACTGATGAGTTCCTTTTCTGTGCTCATGGTTTTTCAGGCTGCAGCCTGAACACAACAGCTGACACTTGTGTTTAAAGGAAGTATTTAGCCTGCCCACCATCCAGGGGTGCCACACTGTGGCTTCCACCACAGATGCATTTCCAGTCTCAAAGATGAGCACACGGAGCAGTTTTGTCCCACCAGCTGCACAGGAAGCCTGAATGTCACAGTCCTGAGTAGCAAAAGGTGCAGGAGCACTCACCCTTCTCTTGAATCAAGTTGCCAAAGAAGAGCTTGAGCTCACCCCAGGTACCTGAAAAGCCTCAGAAAGCAACAGCTAGGATCTGCAACAAGTCTACCTGAGCCAGAGGGAAACGACTACAGCTACTCCTAGCAGATCTCTGGGTCCCCAGAAGTTTCAAACACCCTCCACTGCTCTAATCTACTGCTTAAAATGACTCACAGGCCTTCATGCTACAATTATTACAACCTCAGCGCTCACCCCGGGTACCTGAGCATGCAGAGTACAGCCTCAGAAAGCAACAACTAGGATCTGCAACAAGTCTACCTGAGCCAGAGGGAAACAACTACAGCTACTCCTAGCAGATCTCTGGGTCCCCAGAAGTTTCAAACACCCTCCACTGCTCTAATCTACTGCTTAAAATGACTCACAAGCCTTCATGCTACAATTATTACAACCTCAGCTGCTCCTGTCTAGTCCTGCAGCCCTTCAGAGCAACTTATTCAGTATTTACAGGCTCTGAGTACAAAGCTCCCCATGAGGCAGAGCTGCTCGAAGCGGAAGAAATGCTGTAATCCCAGCAGATCCCACGAGCTGCACTCGCAGCCTTGGCAAACAAAACATCACCACACTTCCCCCAAAGTTCAAACTTTTCAGTGCTGCAAGGGTACTAGTGTGGAAAGAGCAGGAATTCCAGCTGAGGAACCTGCAAGGATGTGCTGACGTCAAAACCAGCTCCCAACCTGCTTCTCCTGAGAACATTTTCTCCTGGTGTTTGTCCCTACTCCCACCCTTCTAGTGATTTATGACTGAACAAATAACTACTCACTTGACCCCAGAAAAGCTCAGCTGAAAGGCAGCATCTGCTCCACAGCCTACATAAGCTTTTATTTCATTTCCTAACGTCTTGACCGGCAGAGATGAAGCTCAAGTTAAGATTATTGCTTTGCATTCTCATCCTTGAAGCACCCAGAGGACTTACGGGTTCGTAGGACTGAGGATAAACATGGAACTGTAAGGCAAGATTGGTTTAGGCCCATTTTTCGTCAGGTCATCGACGTCTTTCTTCTCTTCTGCTTTACTTTCAAATTCCACGTTGTTCACTGAAATGTGAAATTAGGGAGACAGAAAGAAGAGAGGTAAAAATGTATCTGCAGCCTTCACCCAGCAGGCTGCCTGCAACAGCTGGATCTGCAAACAGTGCAGCTGGGAGAGCAAACAGCCTCTGAGTGTGTGGATTAAATGTGATGAACAATCATTTGATTATTATCAATAATCACACGCTGCAATTAAACTGCTTAACTGCTGCACTGATGAGCCATAGAAGAGAAACGGCCAGGAAATGAAGATGCCCAGAGCAGACAAACAAAGAGACCTTACACTTATTTACACAAGAGCTGCCAAACTGGGGATTGAAATCCCATTCCAAATGTCATAAATTATTGGGGAGAGAGGATCGGCTAGGGGTCCTTGGGAAGATAAACAGAAGGTTCAACCAACTGCATGATATTGTGTCTTCTCCCATAGATCAGTTGGCTTTGGGACGTGTGAAATAAATAAATGAGCCTTAATTTTTGAGGCTAGGACTGCTGACCTTCCCAGCAACAGGAACAGAGACTTGGAGGGGACCTCCTGGACCCCCCTAGCTCTGTGCCTGCAGAGTGCACCCCAGTTTTGACAGAGCTCCCATGTATAGAAGGTTGGAGTTGCATCTCACAGCAGGTTTTTCACTTACGTGATCCCTGTCTAGAAGATTTTTCTGCACTTCAGTCCCAAAGGGTAGAAATACATTCTCTAATTTCCATCATAAGTTTACTTTAAGTCTGTAGGATAATTTACTTAACGATAGTTTCCAATATATGGGCTGGAAAACATTTTATGCAGCAAATTCTTCTCTTAGACATATATACATCCTTCTCTATTAATTCACAAGATCTAGAATCCAAGAACTCCACCCACTATAATGTGTTAGATACAGGGGGGTTTTATTACTTTTTACTTTATTTTGCAACAAAATGACATTTCATTGTGTATGAGTGACATGTTCAATAAACTCCTGATTGTGTCTCGAGCCAGATACACAGGAAATGGTCAGGGAAGAGAGAGGCTGATAAATTGTGACTGACAGGAACTCAGTATTGCAATATAGTAAAATTACCATTTAAGAGAAAAACAAGAAAGAAAGTAAGGAAAAAAAAAAAAGACAAGTCTTGCATGGCTGACAACACACTGAGAACAGCTTTTGGCCATGCCTCCTGGAAAGCAGAGTCCTGCCAAGCTGCAGTCTAATGTGGACCTCTCAGAGTGCCCATAACAGTTCTCCTGGGCACCCTGAGATCTTCAAGACTTCTCTAGGCTGTGCCCACACTGCCAAGGATGAGCCACAAGCTGGTCAGCACAGGTGTGTGGCTGCAGAGCAGATCATGGGCACGATGATCTTGGGATCATCCACAAAGCAGTGTGAGCCTACACTGATAGACCCAGGGCTCTGGAAAAGGACAAGCCAGACCCACTGGGCTGTGTAGAGAGGACCTACTCATGTGCTCACACAACCAGGTCGTGTCTGGCTTGCTGCACAGCTCTCAGTTACTACATTTTGTTGGTTCTCTTGCTCCTTCATCATTCTGTTATGCACAGATATAAGGGTGTGCTCTGGGCAAACCACCTCCAGGGAGCCTTAGGGGGTGTTTTCCAGAGCCACCAGGTGACCTGGGAACCCATTTTGGGTTCCTGCAGCCTATACAAGCCTACGTAACCCATTTTGAGTTCCTGCAGGCTGCATAAATTGTAGAGCCTTTATCAATTTATCCTATCCCATTATTATATTAGGAGATATTGCTTTCTCCTTGACCATTGCAAGGATGCTGGTGGCCAAGGGAGCTCCCATCATGCAGAGCGTGCTGCTAGCTCCTTGGAAAGTGAGCTCTTTTCTGGCCATTTCACAGCTAACACCAGGAAGCCAAAGGCACTCACTTGGTATGACAGTGGTTTCCCCTGGTGGGGCAGTGATGGTGACAGGGATGTTCACAGTGGTGGTTTTGTCCAGAGGTGGCTGAATCATCCGCGTCACGTTCTTCTGGTTGTCAGCATCTTCTGGCTGCTCTGGGACCTTCTGCAGATAGGTGCTGGGAAGGGTGTGCACAGGGACACTCACACTTCCACTGGCCTCAATCTCACACTGGTTCTCCCTAAGGTAGAAAAGCAGATTTTATTAAATATGGCCCAAGAAGGATTTTGAGAAAACATGTACCCTGATGCTGCACCTCTCTCTAGGTCCCATAGACTGTTTTCTTCATGGAAGCCCTTGGCAGAAAAGCCACAGACTGTGGGACAACCCACTGAGGGCACAGTGGATGACCTTCTCCTCGAAGTGCTTCTGAACCAACATCCAAGCACAACATTAAGAGGAACTGTGCCACTGAATGTCACTTTGTTCTGTTTAATGAGACTCAGAACTGAGGTTCATGAGCAAGGACCACATGGCACTCACATGTGGCAGTGACATTAGCTTTCCAATGTCAGCTGGCTTCTGAATGGATTCTGACATCCTGTTTCTTAATGTTCTCCTGAGGCCTTATTTAAATGTGGTGATTCTCTTTTCCAGCCCTAAACCAGCTTGTAAAGTTGCTGCAAGCAGCTAAATAGCTTCTACATTCCTCTGCAGCAGTGGCTAAATTTCAGCGAGGAGGAAAGTGAGTTTGTGCCCACAGACTAAACAGTATGCAAAGTGCTTTGAAATCCATCTGAACAGAAGATAATATAGACAGGAAAATTATTATCTCAGTGCCACTCACAGCTCTCCACGGTGACATGAACTCTGTTCTAAAGAATCCCAATGAAATTTCTCTTCCATCAGACTAATAAAGCTGAAAAGGCAATCTATCCTTCTTTATTAACTACTCTGAATGCTTCACGAGTACTATTTTTCTCACTTGACTTACATGAGAATTAAACCAAATGGGGTACATCATTGTTCTTAATGGAAGAAGCCACGTGCTGTAACAACTGGTGATGCAGCTGACAGGCTCACCAAGAAAAAAAGAAAACCAAAGGGCTGCATAAGACACAACTGGATGCCATTTAAAAATACATCCCTCAGAAACTTCCTTCAGAGGCTGTGAAATTGTCTGCTCCACATCATGTCCTAGAGGCTCTGTTGGTGTTTACACCAAGGATATTTCTTTCCTTAAACCTGAGCTATTCTCTGGGCCAACAGAGACTGAAATTGTCTTTGGGAGCCTCTGTTGTCACCAATTTAAGTGAAACAGAGCTGCAGGTTATGTTGGGGGCTGGTGTGAGTGCGGGAAGAACAGCAGGGAACGCCATGGGGAGGGGAATAAGTGATTTCCTGAGCCGTGTCTGGGGTCTCGTGCCTGCTGAGCTGTCCCAGGGGCGAGCCCAGCCACGCAGCACTCACTCACTTGGGCTGATGATTCCGGTGCTCCTTCTCTCCAGCCTCGCCCTCCTTCTCCCCGTTCTCCTTCTCCGCCGCCTCGTAGGTGGAGAGCGCCCTGTTCCTCAGCCTGTGCCGCCTGTGCGGCTCTTCTCCGCTCTCGCCCTTGGAGCCGGGTTCTCCTTCCCTGTTCCCGGACCTGGAGCGCCGCTCGCCCCTGGCCCCGTTGGCCGTCCCGTTGCCCTCCTTGCCCTGCCGCTCGGCAGAGTGCCGGTGAGGCCGGTGCCTGCGGTGCTCCTTCTCGGCACCGTCTTCCACGGAGCCCCGGCGGTGGTGCCTCTTCCCCCCCTCCTGACCCCTGCTGCGTTCGCTTTTCCCTTCCTTGCTCCCCCCTTCCACCTCCTTGCTGCGGCTCCTGTGCTGCCTGTGCCTCTCCTCCTTGCCTCCTTGCCCTGCCGCTCGGCAGAGTGCCGGTGAGGCCGGTGCCTGCGGTGCTCCTTCTCGGCACCGTCTTCCACGGAGCCCCGGCGGTGGTGCCTCTTCCCCCCCTCCTGACCCCTGCTGCGTTCGCTTTTCCCTTCCTTGCTCCCCCCTTCCACCTCCTTGCTGCGGCTCCTGTGCTGCCTGTGCCTCTCCTCCTTGCTGTTGGTGCTGGGTTCCCCGTTCTCATCCTTGGCCACGTCGCCCTTCTCTTGTTCTCCCAGTTTGTCCTTCTCCCGATGCCGGTGGTGCTTTCGCGGAGCTTCCGCCCCGTCCGCGGAGCTGACTTTGGTCTGCTCCACCTCCTGCACGTCCACGGGGCTCAGCTTGCTGATGTTGTTCCTCCCTTCGCTCCGAGGCTCCACCACCAGGGGCCGGTCCAGGTGGGTCTTCATGTCGGGCCTGATGTGAAGGGTGGTGGCGTAACGCACCCGCTCCTCCGGGTCCAGCTCGTTGTACAGCGCCTCGCAGCTGGCTCGGAAGTTGTGCATCCGGATCTGGCTGGTCCTCTGCTCCCAAACGGACTTGGATTTGGAGGAGTTCTGCTGCTTGCTAAGGAGGGGAGGAAGGTGGAAAGTTAGTCTCCCAACTTTGCATCAATTCCCTACAAACAGTCAAGGGAGAAAGGGAAAAAAAAAAAAAAGAGGAAATTTTCAGTTGAGATGAGGGGTTAGAGGGTTGGGCCAGAGAAATTATAGGAATGGAGAGAGAATGGCTGGCAGAGAACATGAGCAGGGAAAGCCAGCAGGATCATCAGTGTTAGTTTGCTCCGGCACGCGTTAGGCATTATGAAACTGGCCCGCTGGAAAGGAGTTATCTTGATTTCTAAAGCATGGTCGTCCCCCTTGGAAACCTCAGATATTGTCTAAAGGATTAAAGTTTCTGCACATAAAAATCATGTTTTACAGCCAGAGCTTTCTGGCTTTCTCCCCACCTCTCTCCTGACCTGAACGTCTGGATGAGCAAATCAGAGGTTAGACTGGCAGGAGGAGTGAGGAGAAATGAAATCTGCCCCTGAGAGTCTGAGCCTGAGCACTCTGCCACCAGCCCCTTCCCCTCACAGCCTGCCAGAGGGGTCACATCCCAGCAGCTCATGGCACAGGAGAGCTGCTCACCAGACCCCCAGCGTCCTTCTCAGGTGAGGATGGACCAACCAGCCCAAGCACCAGTGGAGCCTGGAAAAACACAGTTAAGAAAGGAAAACTGCTCTGTGGACTGTGAAAAGACCCCAGGGACTTGGAGAGCCACACACAGATGCAGCAGTGATGACAACACCTTTATCCCTTGGGGAGACTTGCTCTTTTCTGTCTCTGTCATCTATTATGGTGAGAATACCTCCATTGACATTGCCTTAATGCTTTGGTTTTCCAGCACAGATCTTGGTTTCTGACCACCACATGCAAAGGGGTCACCCACTTAGCCAATGAAGAAAGCAGAGGGGTTTTTTTTCCCCTCTCATCCTAAAGACTGCAATCCAAATTCTGCTTGTGCATAAAATCAAAGTAAACCAAATGGCTTCCAGGGTGGAGTTCTGGATTTAGCTTGGCGAAGGATCAGCATCCATTATCTTCCTTAATAAAACTCCTTCTAACAAAGAGAGGAAAATCATTTTCCTTCCACCAGCCTGCTCCAGTGTCTCCATTTGGCACACACGAGCCTGATCTCTGCAGCCGGAGGGGCCGTGTGGGGCTCGCCAACCTCCAGCACTTAATGCACAGCCCACGAGGGAGGCAGATGCATTTTCCTTACGTACTTTCTGGGCTCTCCTGCCAGTAGAGGAAAGCAGCATTTTGTGAGTGCTGATTGGGACTGTCAGGGTCTGTTGTCGTGAGCAGACCCCAGGGGTGCTGCTGGAAAGGCTTTGAAACTCTGAGCTCTGCAGGGGGCTCAGCTCCTCACCCAGCCTGCTGCTGCCTGGGTCTGCTCAAGAGCCAAAACTCTACTTAAACACTCAGTGCAGATGGGATAAGGGCACCCAGGCTGATGTGAAGGGAATCTGATTTAATCCAGAATTTGGAGGGAGCAGAGCTAATCACCAAAAGTAAAGGTCTACCTCCCTTGTTCCCAAGAGGCACGTTCTGGACTCATTTCCCAGCAGCTGAGTGCCCTCAGTTACACCACGGCAGAAAAACAGGTGACCAAAATCACAGTTCTAAACATAAATGATACTAAAAGGTACTGGGACATAACCTAGAAACCCACTCAGCCAAAATCCCCCAAAGGGAGAGGAGGGAACAGGCTTCTTAAGGGAGAGCCCCCCCCAAGCTGTCCTAGTGACCCCTGGCACAGGATGAACAGCCTCAGCAGAGCAGGCAATAACGTACCCTTTCTTTTTGGCTGAATGCTACAGAAGATTGAAATGTCATCACTCAGCAGCAGATTTACTTGGTTTTAGAAGGAAATAATGAGTAACATGCAAAGCCTCTGACTGCCCAGGCCTGCTGCCCCATAGAAGGATTTCCCACGGGAAGCCACATGCTCTACATTTGCAGCTCCCCACAAGGCAACAAGATGGGCAGAGAGATGGAGCTGCCTGGGATGGGTGTCCCAGGATGTGCCACAAACCTTTTCAGGATGGACTGGGTGTGTTGCTCTGCAGTACTCCAGTTCTAGCTTTGCTAATCTGAGCTGGGCTACAAAAATGAACTTCCTCTTAAGCACACAAGCTCAGTGAAACAAGACAGCCCAGGGATGGGGATGTGGATGTTTGATCTCCCTCAGCACAGGCCACCAAACACCTTTGTTCTTGGGGGACATCTCTCACTTCATAATGAATGTCCTTGGGGTGGGGACTGGCTTCTGTTTTGTGCTTTGAACAGCCAGAGTGAGCTGTCAACACTGACGTGATAACCAGCAATAATGAGTTAGAGTTGGGAAACTGCCCTTACACTGACTGAAACCTTCAACTGATCTACAAACCAAGAGCAGAGAGAAGGGCACAACCACCTGCTCCCTGTGCACCATCCTGGGCTCCATTTCCATAGGCCTGGCACCACGCAGGGGTGGGATGCAAAGCCCCAACCCCCCTGCAGAGAGTCTCCAAAGTAAAACACACAATCAACCATCAGAGATCTTTCATGGACACAGTCTCCTCCCCACCAGGGCCTGCCCTGAGCCCATCAAAGCCACGATATAAAGAAAATCTCCTAAATCAGGCAGGATGTGGTGAAAGGGTGGGTTGAGGATGCACTGTGTAATGAGTACTAGCCCTGCAGAGGACACACTCAGAACTGCTAGCTCTGACACAAGGCATACCCCCTTCAGGATGCCTGCCCTGAGCCCATCAAAGCCATGATATAATGAAAATCTCCCTAAATCAAGCAGGATGTGGTGAAAGGGAGGGTTGAGGATGCACTGTGTGTTGAGTACTAGCCCTGCAGAGGAGACACTCAGAACTGCTAGTTCTGACACAAGGCATACCCCCTTCAGGAGGGGTTTTTTTTTGGTTGTGTTTCAGAACAAGAACATAACCTTTAAATTATCTCTGAGGTGCTAAAGCTCTCTCTGTACTTCACTCATGGCTAACTGAAAGGTTCTTCCAGGTACATACAGCACTGAGAATCTGGGGAAACCAAGTAATGCACATATTAACTAAGCCCTTTTCTGCTAAAATCCCTTCCTTGTAACAGACACTCATAGTACAGTCTTGAATTTCTCAGCATCTAGAAACGAGAAGCATCCTTAACTTTGACACAAGGGGCAGAGGTGATTGCCTAAAGACTACAGCTCACAGCCACCCACTGGCTGTGGCTACTACCAAGACAAAGAGCAGGAGGTTCAGAATTAAAGACTGCATCCTTCCTTCTTTCTACAGGAAAAGACACACCAAAAAAAAAAAATTAAAAATAAAAACAGAAAATATATGAATCACAGTAAAACCAGGAAAACGTGAAGCCTGCCTGCAAGGTCATTATCATCTTCAAACCAGTCAAGAATATCCAAAGCAAGTGACACAGCACATAAAGTCTGCTGCAGGAGATGGAAGTAAAGCGAGCGAGCAGGTCGGACCCTCTGGGGACAGTGTTGAGAGTTTTCAGAGCCAAAGTGGCAGCAACTGGAGGGAATGTGTCGTCTGCCTGTCCAATTAAATTAATCAGACTCTTGCTTTCCCCGACATCCTACAGCAGCTGAGCGTGGACATATGTGACAGTTTCTCCTCTCCCATTGCTCTGCTGCACTTCCTCACAGAGCAGAGCTTTTGAACTTGTTTATGGCACAACAGGAACGTCGCCTTCAGACAAGCCCCAGTCTCACCACTGAGGAGGTGGGAAAACACAAACAGGGCAAAATCATTTCCTCTTATTCCTCCAGCATTCGGGACAGTTAATTACTGGGGACTTGGTGAATGGGAGCAGACACAAACCATCTACAGTATGATAAGCATGGCATCACTTGTCCAGACTGATCAGAAATGAGCCTGTGTGATAACAAGTATTTTTTTCCACAAGAGAAAAGTTTGAAGCCAGCTCCTTATCTGAAATGCTGTTCACTGTTTGCTTCTTAAAATCCTTTTGAATCCACTAAGGATATTGCAATAATCACTTTGGATTTGCAGACACAGTACAAAGATTAATGTGCATTTACTTTCTTTACAAATACCTCCCCATCCCTATTTTCTGTCTACAGGAGATTTCAAACTCTTTGAAGGGTACTGGTAATAACCTCAGTTTTCAGGTCTTCTAGGCTTGAAATGTGGTAGATATTACTGCTAATGCACTTCTCTGAGCAGCTCCACTGCTCTTGCCTAGATTAAGAAGCCAACAAACAACTTCTTGCCTATGGCTAGAAAGAAAACCATACAATTCATGTAGAATCAAATAAAATTCATATTAATGAATCAGTGACTAACATTGATATAAATAAAAAATGCAGCTAGTCACTGTGTAGCTTATTCAAGAAAAGAAAGCATATTTTTAGTCATACTCTAATCTTAGAGTTTTCCTCAATGATTAAAGGGTTTGTTTTAATAACCTTTTAAAAGGCTGCTCGGGTTAATGGCACTTTGCTCCCCAGTACTCCTCAAAATTTTGCTGTAGTAAATAATGAATGAAAGCTGACTACGAACATAATAATTTTTATGTTAAAAATACCTACACATTAGATGGTGGGTATGAAAGGATAAGTTCAGATTATAGAAGAAAGGGAAGTTCTTGTTAAAATACAGTTTCAACAAAAAAATGCCACGCAAAAAACCTTTCCTCTAAAATCACATTTTCTGTTCATAAACTTGGCGATGCTCTCTCCACGTCTCAATTTTCCACTTGGAAAATGCAATGAAGTGTTTTAGTTTGGGGTAGGCATGCACAAAGCAGAATGTTTTATCTCTGTTTGTCTTGATAAACTGATTTTCTTTCAGATGAACTCACCACTAGTGTTTAAATTTGCTTTGCCAGTGACCCCAGGAGTTGCTGGCTGGTTGCTTTAGCATCTTTTCTTCTTTATGAGCTGGAACTCTCCAGGGAGATGTTTTGTGCTCTCCTACCAAGCTGCTGCAATGGGGTGCATCAGAGCTACCAAGGGCTGCTGCAGGAAACACTCCCTGGGCTCCTCCA